ATATGTTTACGTTTTGGAGGCTCTGGCCCCAAACCAAGGTGATTTTCTCATTGCTATCCCACCAGTATTTTATGTTGTATAATGAAGAGTATGTGTGTCAAATTTGGTCCAGATACATCAAGCCATCTAGAAGCCTTTGCGGATCAAGCATACATAGATACATTCCTTTCCCGCCCTTTCTCTCCCTCTCTCCCTCTCTCTCTCTATATATATACACATATACTAGCTGTACCCATCACACGTTGCTCTAGCCCACCTTCCCTCCCTCTTTCTCTCCACCTTTCTTTCTCTCCTTTCTTCCTTCCCTTTTATTCTTTCATTCTCTCCTTCCTTCCCTTCCTTCACCCCCTTTTCTTTCCCTTCCTCTTTCTCCCCTTCCTTCCCTAATTATTCTTGGACTGCAACTCCCAGCAGTCCTCCTGATCAATCTATCTACCTAACTATCTCTATCTAATCTATCTGTCTACCTGGAGTATTGCTAGGAGTTGTAATCCAGGAATAGGAAATTGGAAATGTGCAGGGATTGGGATGTCCTCAAAGAAATCCAAGGAGAAGAAAGCTTGCATCATGGAAGCATTTGGATCATCCTCCTATCCTAAAGGGTCTAGGGGATGCTGGGAGTTGTAGTCTGGAAGAGAGTGTGGATATGGTATTGTGTGTTTTGTTTGCCGGGGGAGTCATTTTTGAACATGCGCTGTAGCACCTTTTTGCTTTTTAAGACCTTTCCGCTGTGTTTTTCAATGTTTTTATGAGTGATAGTCATTTGTTGGCCTGATAGGTGTGTTGTGTCCAAATTTGGTGTCAGTTTGTCCAGTGGTTTTGTTAATCCCACAAACTAACATTACATTTCTATTTATATAGATATGATATGATACAATCTGCTATGGAGAGAAAAGTGGTATATAAATGTAGTAAATAAATTAATCCATATATACTCAAGTATAAGCCGACTTGAATAGGACTGGAAACGTGAAGAGGTTGGAATGGGGCTGGTTGAAAAAGTGGGAAAATGAGGTAGAAAAAGGGTTGCTGGAGAAGTAGGACAAATTGGGGTGGGAAGAGAGCAACTGGGGAAGGGGAAACGACTGAGGTGTGAAAGGAGGCTGGAAACTGGGAAATGTTGGGATGGGAAGAGGGGCTGGCAAAGTGGGAAAGACCCCAGTCTAGAATGTGAAGGGGGAGATTGGGAAAAGTTGGGGAAATAGGGGTGGGAAAGAGGGGCAGCTGGAAGAGATTGGGATGGGGCAAGGAAGATTGCAAAATGAGCAAGACGGGTGCCATAGCAGGGGCTGGAAAGGTGGAAAGATTGGAGTGGAAAGGGAGCAAGTGGAGAAGTGGGAAAGACTAGGGTGGGAAAGACGGGTGAGAAAGAGGGAGTGGGAAAGTGGGAAACTGCAGTGAGAAAAGGGGCAAGGCTGAGATGGGAAAGAGAGGTTGGAACCTGGGAAAGGCTGGGATCGAAAGGGAGAGGGACTGGGGATAGTAAAGACTGGGGTAGGAAGCAGGAAACTAGAAAAAGAATGGGGTGGGAAAGGGGTGCTGGAAAAGTGGGGGGAAATGAGGTTGGAAGGGAGAAAGTGGGAAGGACTGAGGAGAGGAAGGCACGCAGCCTCCCCTCCCCTCTTGGCACAGCAACCCAGCTATGTTGCTGTGTGAAGAGGTGAGGGTCCTGATGGGAAGGCATGGAGCTGAAAGAAGGGTTTCTTTCAGCCCTACGCCTTCCAGCCAGGACCCTTACTCAAGTATAAGCCAAGGGGGGCTTTTTCAACCTAAACTAGGCTTATACTCAAGTATATATGGTATATGGTATTTACAACATGTGACATTTTATTTGTACAGTAGAGTCTCACTTATCCGACCTTCGTTTATCTGACATTTTGTCTTATCCGACATTTGTATCAGATGCCCCCCTTTTCCTCCAGCATTTCCCCTTTAATTAAAGGAGTGCTCCACAACTCTCTCTCCATTCCCAATAAGTGAAGAAGACAAGACAAGGAGGAAGAGGAGGAGGAGAGAAAAAAAGGGAGAAAGAGGCAGGACCATAAGTGGAAGCATCCTCCCTCCTTCCCTCTATGATTTCCACACTCCTCTTCCGCATCCGGGCACTTCCTGCTAGACTTCTCTAGGCCCGAAGTGTTACCTTGCCTTAACCCCCTGAGTCCCTGTTGTTAGTATTCTAGGTGTCTAGTGCCGCATCGGATGGGTAACAGTAGGAGACTCCATTTAATCCGACATTTTCGTTTATCCAACGTTCTGCTGGTCTGTTTATTATGTCAGATAAGCGAGACTCTACGGTATATAGCAAATTACTCCTGCATCTTAAAAACATGGGAATAAAAACAAATGAAAAAATGAGCTTCCTGGGCTAACTAGAGTAATGAAATGTATGCCAACTTGATGTATTTTTGCGTTCCCTTTCTCCCTCTCGCATACATATACACACATACTACACAATTTATTGCCAACATTGGTAATTTGAATTTACTGTCCTCTGGGTCTCTGTCAAGATTTTAGTAATGTCCTTAATAATCTAGATGTTTCCAAGGAAACGTCTTTATTTATGATCCCCCCATTTTGTCATCACTAGTAATGATGATATGGAAACACATGCATATTCTATCACTGTCAGGAAACAGTCTGAAAATCGACAACCAAGTTTGATGGTTGATATGAATAACACATATAAGGAAGTTCTCTTTCTCTTAGGCAGCACAATATTTATGGTAGATTGTTGCAAAGGCATATTTGCTTCAGAAAATCTGTTATGTTAAATCATCAAAATCTAAACTTGGAAATGCATTTTCAGGCACAGACGTGCTCATTTTCCTGGCTTGTACTTATTGGAATACAGGTTGTTCCTGTTTATATTTACAGGTCTGTTTTTAATATCTTAATCCAGTTGTCATGTTATGTTGTCCCATGGAGCCAATGTTTTTCAGGCTCTCAGACCACCAGAGACATGGAAATGACACGTGTGAACTTGTGCAGTGGGCAGCGGCAAATATACATTGGAAATTAACATTAAGGAGTACAAATTGCTTTTTTTCCTGTCGTTTGCAGCACAACAGTTGAGCCTTTGGATCCCTACAGGACATTCAGTTCATCACATGTATATAGGATTCTTGGAAGCATTCTGGCTGGCTCCCTTCTTTGGCCTGCTCAGCTCTGCTTCTGTAGAGGAAACTTTCACAGAGGATTTTCTTGAAGCTCTGTAGCTATCAGAAGCCCAGAAAATGTTATTTCTGGGGTCACATCTATATAGTTTCATAATGTGGTTTAGCTGCATTGAAGTGCATGTATGGCAGTATAGTCCCTGTTTGTTGGGGTTCAGCCTGCTCTGTGTGAACCTGAACCCCAATCTCTGTGTGAACCTGATTCTCTGATTATATTTCCAACTGAGCAAGCCACTGAACATGTATCTCTCCCTGATAGTGTTGAAACTGTTGTTGATGCTGAGGTCAGTGGCAAGGAAAGTGAAACTGAACAGCCTGATGAAAATGTTTTGGAATCCAGCCGTGATAGCTCTCCAGAGGAAATCACACCTGGGTTTTTTAATGAGGACCGAAGGGAACAGATAGCTAGAAACAGGAGTGATTCACAGTTTCTACGAAGGTCAAATAGATTACAGGAGAGACAGGCCCAGGCTTCAAAGTCAAGGGGCGTTTCAAGGAATAGTTTATTTGGCTTAAGGGGCCTCCTTCCGGGTGTCTCGTTAGATCAAGCAACGTTTTGGACTGCGGTTGTGCCTTGGCAGAATTCCTGTGTTCCATGGCCGGTAATCCCAGAGGCTCCTAGTTTTCAAGTACCTGGTTAGTGAGATGCTAACAGGTTCCTGGTTTTTGTATTCTGGTTTTTGGAACTTTGCTCAAGCTCAGAGATTTTCCTGACTGCTGTGTTTCTATTGTGGCTCTTTGACTTTGCATTTGCCTTTCTTTTGTAACCAATTTTTCATCAATAAAAAGGATTGTTTTCCCTACAGTCCAGTGTGGTGGATTTAATCTTATGGTCTTGTTTCCTGATCTGGGATGCAACACTGTTGCACTCTAGTACTGAAATATTTTTTCACCCAGCACCACACCAGAGTCCAATAATACTATGTAGAAATGTTTATTAAGGAAAGCAGGTACAAAGGGGGAAAGGGGCATTTCCAAAAGTGTCAGTAGAATAGAAAATACAAAATAGCAGTAATCCAAAAATGGCAAAGTACATAAAGTCAAGAGAACCAGAATGCACAGCAGTTATTCAAACATGAATCCATAAACCAGAACACAGGAGCTTTTTCCAAGGCAAATCCTTACAGACACAAAGACATGAACCAGAAAAGGAAACTTGAATCATGAACTTGAGAGCGGAGACAAGAAAATCATCCTTTAGCAACGTTGTCTCTTCTCATAGGCTTGAAGCCACACTACTTAATTTAAGCCTGTCTAAGCACCCATGACATCATGTCAAACACACCTGGACTTCAAGGTCTTCTTATGTTTCTGTGAGAATATCTAGTTTGTCTGTTTTTTACTCACTTCATTCTCAGGCCTAATCTAGTTTTCAGGGAAAACTCCCCATCAGCCCCAGGACTTTCACTTTCCAAAATATTGGCCTCCTCTGCCTTGCCCTCATCTGCCTACAATTCTCTCCAATCACACACAGGCTCCTCATCCCCTTCATACTCTGACAAATCCTCTGATGCTTGCTGTGCTACAACAGACTCATACAATGAAGTTCAATGCAGTTAAACATCATTATATGAGTCTACACCAGGCATGGGCCCTCCAGGTGTTTTGGACTAATTCCCACAATTCCTAACAGCTGCTTAGCTTCAAAAATTAGACAGTATCTGGTGCCCTTAGGGTATATTTTATACATATTTCTATGTGGAGTTCATAAATCATGTGTCTTGGCTATTTTTGGAGTGGGGGGCATAGACAGTGTTATGCTTCTTTGTGAAGTTGTTGAGAAGGAATTCCGCAATTTTTGAAGCTCTATTTTGATGTATTTTCCAGGAACTAGCAAGTTGCGGATGGAATAAGAAAGAGAAACACATCCTTGCCCCCAACGTTGTTGCCTTTACAAGGAGGTTTAATCAGGTAAATGTTTCTAATTACAGTTAATGAACAGATATTATCTACAAGGAGTCAATAAGGTTTGGATTTGTGCTGTGCAGCAGAATACAGTGGCTGTATCTGAACCTTTTTAGCAGCTATGTTTGACTGAATAGCAAATTATAATGGAATTATGGCTCTGCAACAGGAATGCACAGATTTCAGGCATGATGACTCTATTGTGTTTTTCCATAGACCTCTGAAACCACGGGCTAGACTTTGATTCAAAAAACATATGCTTAGAATTAGAAAATTTTGGGACAAAAGTAGTTTTTTTTCATGTAAGGAGTGACTTGAGAAGCTGCAAGTTGTTTCTGGTGTGAGAGAATTGACCATCTGCAAGGTCTTTGCCCAGGGGACACCCAGATGTTTTGATGTTTTAACATCCTTGTGGGAGGCTTCTCTCATGTCCCTGCATGGGAAGCTAGAGCTGAGACGGGAGCTCATTCCGCTCCCAGGATTCGAACCGCCAACCTGTCGGTCAGCAGTCCTGCCGGCACAAGGAGGTTCACATTGGGGACTCCAACAGATCCATTTAGAAAGGCAAAGGAGAAAACATTAACAAAGCACAATATTTGCATCCAAATGCGTCTACAGTATTGAGTGCTTTGTTTTGAGAGTTATTGGAATTTTTAATACACTGAATATGCTTTCGTTAAGAACTAAATAAAATGTTTATGCTATTTTCAGGTCAGTTTCTGGGTTGTACGAGAAATTTTAACAGCACAGACCTTAAAAATACGAGCAGAAATATTGAGCCATTTTGTGAAAATAGCAAAGGTAAGCTTTTTGCTTTTAAAGCAACCCTTTCTCAACATACTTTCCTTTTGCATTCATCTTCGATGTTCTCTTGTTGGTGATTAAAGATATAATATCTTCTCTCCTTCTTAGAAACTTCTAGAACTGAACAACCTCCATTCCCTCATGTCTGTGGTATCAGCTCTGCAAAGTGCACCAATTTTCAGACTGACAAAGACCTGGGCAGTAAGTTACTCTGGGTTTTACTTTGTATCTCCCCCGACCCTTCCTCCGATCTTTGAAGAGTGGTTTGTACGCTGTGTTATTGGGTTGCTTTGAGTTTTCCAGGTTGTATAGCCATGTTCCAGAAGCATTCCCTCCTAATGTTTCGGCCACATCTATCATGGTTATTCTCAGAGTTTGTGAGGTCTGTTGGAAACTAGACAAGTGAGGTTTACTGTATATACTCGAGTATAAGTCTAGTTTTTCAGTCCCTTTTTTAGGCTCAAAAAGCCCCTTTGGCTTATACTCGAGTCAAGGTTATTTATTATTTTATTCTGTTATTAGTATTATTTTATTACATTTATTATCTTACTCTATTATTACATTTGCATTATTTTACTCTATTATTATTTTATTACATTGATTATTTTACTCTGTATTACTGCTTTGAATACATTTATTATTGCATTCTATTTATTATTATTATTATTATTATTATTACATTTACATTGTTTTACTCAATTATTTTTATCACATTTATTATTTTGCTCTCTTTATTATTATTGGAAAGATATGTAAGCACATTTACATTGAAGAAGGTTAAAATAATGGTTTAATCAGAATTGGACAGTCTTATCTTAAATTATAGTTTTATGTAAATATTCAAAACATTTAACCTACTGATGCCTCAATTAATGTAATTGTATTGTATCTATTTTTATTTTGAAATATTCGAAAACATCATACTAATGCCTCAATTAATTTAATTTTATTGGTATCTATTTTTATTTTGAAATCTACCAGTAGCCGCTGCATTTCCCACCCTCGGCTTATACACGAGTCAATACATTTTCCCAGTTTTTGTGGTAAAATTAGGTACCTCAGCTTATATTCGGTTCAGCTTATACTCGAGTATATACGGTATATATCTTTGGAATAATGCCCAGGGTGGGAGAAAGAAAGAACTCTTGTCTGTCTGAGGCCAGTGTGAATGTTGCCATTGGCTGCCTTGATTAGCGTTGAATGGTCTTGCAGCTTCAAAGCCTGGCTGCTTCCTGCTTGGGGAAAAGAAAATCTAGCTAACTCTAAAATCAGGATAGTAAATAAAGAGCAATACTGAATAAACAGGAGAATTCCAGACAGGAAACAATTAGGGGCGGCTAACACCTCCCAACAAATGATTCCCCCAGCCAGAAAGCAGCCAGGGTTTGAAGCTGCAAGGCCATTCAGTGCTAATCAAGCTGGCCAATTGCAACATTCACACTTGCCTCCAACAGAGAAGAGTTCTTTCTCCCTCCCTGGGCATGATCCCACAGATATATAAACCCTACTTGCCTAGTTTCTAACAGACCTCACAACCTCTGAGGATGCCTGCCATAGATGTGGGCGAAATGTCAGCAGAGAATGCTTCTGGAATATGGCCAGATAGCCCGGAAAACTCACAGCAACCCATTGATTCTGGCCATAAAAGCCTTCAACAATGCTGTAAGATAAGATAATATTTTGACTAGTAAAAGCCATGTCTTCTGTATATCCATGTGAGCACATCTTTATATTGGAGAGATCAGAGCAGCTCTCTTCATCTTCTTATGGAGCATTCTGGTGAGTTTTTTCTTTTGCTCGACGGAAGATGTGTTTGCCCACTTTCACCCACGTTTTCCACTGACTTTATTCCATGGTCTCTTCATCATGAAAAAAGCAAAAAGCAAGTAGGACCGTATCTAGTTACAAATCCTTTCCCCAGCTTTGCTATACTGTGTCCACTTAATGATATGGAATGTGCTTTAACTTGGCTCTGTATTTGTAAGTATTGTAAGCTGTTTGCCATAATGTTCATCTTCAGGATCATCTTCGTAAAATAACTTTTTTTTAACTATTTTAATTTGGATAGTCCACTGGTGTTGTGAAATCAGCCTATTACATGACATTCAGAAATTTCTACAAAACTGCTTCAGCAACCCCTTTTGCTACAGTAATTCAATGTGATTTTGTTTCCTTTGGAAAATCCACGTTGATTCTGTTGTACATCACAAATGTAATATTTGCTTTTCTTTTTCCAATGTGTGGTTTAGTTTATTTATTTATTTACGCCATTTATATGCCACCTTTCTCACCCCAAAGGGGACTCAGAGCAGCTTAAAAGATATATATATATATACACACATACATATACAATATTATATTATTAGCATAGTACAATATCAGTATTATATATTACTATATTGTACTATAGCATTATATTGTAATATAATTAGTAAGATTACATGTGATATAAATATATAATTATAATATACTATTAGTAGTATTATATTGCACTACATTATAATATTATAAATAATATATGTATATACAATATATTGCATTACATTATATTGTTAGTATAGCACAGGAGACAAGGTGGAACTGTCCCCTGACCTCTCTTTTCACTCTGCCCCAGAGCGGCAGTTGGTGCTGGGGGAAGGGGTCCCCAACTGATGATATATGCAGGAGACAAGATGGAACTGTCCCCTGGCCCCCCCCTCTCTTCACTCAGAGCGGCAGTTGGTGCTGGGGGGAGGGGTCCCCACTCTGGCCTGTAGGGAGGGGTCCCCAACTGATGACATATGCAGGAGACAAGATGGAACTGTCCCCTGGCCCCCTCTCTCTTCACTCTGGCCCAGAGCGGCAGTTGGTGCTGGGGAGAGGGGTCCCTAACAGATGACATGTGCAGGAGACAAGATGGAACCGTCCTCTGGCACCCTCTCTCTTCACTCTGGCCCAGAGCGGCAGTTGGTGCTGTGGGAAAGGGTCCCCAACTTATGACATATGCATGGGACAAGGTGGCGCTGTCCCCTGGCCCCCTCTCTCTTCACTCTAGCCCAGAGCAACAGTTGGTGCTGTGGGAAGGGGTCCCCAACTGATGACATATGCAGGAGACAAAAGGGAACTGTCCTCTGCCCCCCCCCTCTTCACTCTGGCCCAGAGCGGCAGTTGGTGCTGAAGGGAGTGGTCCCCAACTGATGACATATTCAGGAAACAAGATGGAATTGTCCTCTGCCCCCCTCTCTCTTCACTCTGGCCCAGAGCAGCAATTGGTGCAGGGGGGAGGGGTCCCCAACTGATATGTAGGAGACAAGATGGAACTGTCCCTTGGTCCCCTCTCTCTTCACTCTGGCCCAGAGCAGCGGTTGGTGCTGTGGGGAGGGGTCCCCAACTGATGGCATATGCAGGAGACAAGATGGAACGGTCTCCTGCCCCCCCCCCCTCACTCTGGCCCAGAGCTGCAGTTGTTGCTGGGGGAAAGGGTCCCCAACTGATGACATATGCAGGAGACAAGATGGAACTGTCCTCTGGCCCCCTCTCTCTTCACTCTGGCCCAGAGAGGTGGTTGGTGCTGTGGGGAGGGGTCCCCAACTGATGATATATGCAGGAGACAAGATGGAACTGTCCCCTGGCCCCCTCTCTCTTCATTCTGCCCCGGAGTGGCAGTTTAAGTCCTAATTTAATATGTTTAGACTCCCATGTCTAAGAAAACCCTATAAAATTCCTGGGGTCACCATAAGTTGTCAGGCTCAAACATGAACCCTAGAAGATGGGAAAGAGCATTGTTGGTCAGTGTACATTTCTGCAAATTTATTTTGTTCCTTTTTTCATTCTGCGCCATTTAATATGATTATCCTATTCATCAAGTAGTAGCTGCTGTTCTGTGAAAGATATTTAGAAGGTTTGTATCTTTGAATCAAAGACAGAGGTGGAGGTGGTTGTTGTTCACGTTCCATCGCCAAAATGAAAAAAAGAGCCAGTGGCCTCTTGGATAAGAACATTGTTGGTTTTGGCCTGAAGGAGAAAATTCAGAAGTCTGGAGAGAAAGAAAAGAATCTGTTTAAGTAGCATTTTGAAACGTGTAGCCTGAAAGGAACAACTGTACTTTCAAACAAAGCAAAAGTATATCCAAAAGGATTGTTCTCGTGGAACAAAACTGTAAATCACTGCACTCCGCTTTGCATGAAATGAACTGTAAATGGGGAATAATATCCCAAGTATCAAGAGTCAAAACTATCTTATTCCATCTGGTATTTTCAAATTGGTTGTAAAAACTGTTTCTAATCTATTTTAAAGGTTTTGCTGTACTTTGCTTTGGGGGCCCTAGTGAACACAATAGTGGTTAACATGAGAGTTTTTGAAACAATAATTGTAGATGTGGAAGAAATCCTTGCACAAAATAGGGGACTTGGTGCCTGAGTTTCATCCCTGAATGTACAGTAGAGAGATTGTCTATTGATAGTAATAGACTCTTTATTAACTGCTTATTTCACAATGACAAAAGAGGGGAGCGCTTCTTACAGTGTATTGTCGAAGGCTTTCATGGCTAGAATCACTAGGTTCTTGTGGGTTTTTTTGGGCTATATGGCCATGTTCAAGAGGCATTTTCTCCTGACGTTTCGCCTGCATCTATAGCAAGCATCCTCAGAGGTAGTGAGGTCACTACCTCTGAGGATGCTTGCCATAGATGCAGGCGAAACGTCAGGAGAAAATGCCTCTAGAACATGGCCATATAGCCCGAAAAAACCCACAAGAACCTAGCTTCTTACAGTGTTTGAAACTCACAGGAAGTCGAAGCATTCATTTGTTCCTTTTTGCACCAGCCAAAAAGGTGGTGTCTTAAGAGAGATTGTGGAGCAATTCTGTTACTGCTAATGTCTTACACACATTTTACGTTTCTAAGTGTTTTTTCAGGAGAGGAAAAATATACAAGAAAAGAACATTTTGGTTGTCAATAATAATAATAATAATAATAATAATAATAACTTTATTTATACCCTGCCACCATCTCCCCAAAGGGGACTTGGGGCGGCTTACATGAGGCCAAGCCCAGAAATGCGTTACGATACAGTAACAACAACAACAAAAAACCATGAGGCAATATCATAATAAAATAGAATAATAGAACAGCATTTTATTTGAGAACACAGAAATGCTGGATCACTCTCACAAACACCATGTCAGGCTACACATAGAAGCCATTGAAATACACAAGCATGTGG